ATCTATTTATTTCTTCTAGGATCTATTTATTTCTTCTAGATCTATTTATTTCTTCTTAGGATCGATTTATTTCTTTTAGATCTATTTATTTCTTCTAGGATCGATTTATTTCTTCTAGGATCGATTTATTTCTTCTAGGATCTATTTATTTCTTCTAGGATCGATTTATTTCTTCTAGGATCTATTTATTTCTTCTAGGATCGATTTATTTCTTCTAGGATCGATTTATTTCTTCTAGGATCGATTTATTTCTTCTAGGATCTATTTATTTCTCTAGGATCGATTTATTTCTTCTAGGATCGATGTTATTTCTTCTAGGATCTATTTATTTCTTCTAGGATCTATTTATTTCTTCTAGGATCTATTTATTTCTTCTAGGATCGATTTATTTCTTCTAGGATCTATTTATTTCTTCTAGGATCTATTTATTTCTTCTAGGATCGATTTATTTTCTGTGATCTATTTATTTCTTCTAGATCGATTTATTTCTTCTGGGATCTATTTATTTCTTCTAGGATCGATTTATTTCTTCTAGGATCGATTTATTTCTTCTAGGATCGATTTATTTCTTCTAGGATCTATTTATTTCTTCTAGGATCTATTTATTTCTTCTAGGATCTATTTATTTCTTCTAGGATCTATTTATTTCTTCTAGGATCGATTTATTTCTTCTAGGATCTGTTTATTTCTTCTAGGATCTATTTATTTCTTCTAGGATCTATTTATTTCTTCTAGGATCGATTTATTTCTTCTAGGATCGATTTATTTCTTCTAGGATCGATTTATTTCTTCTAGGATCGATTTATTTCTTCTAGGATCGATTTATTTCTTCTAGGATCTATTTATTTCTTCTAGGATCTATTTATTTCTTCTAGGATCTATTTATTTCTTCTAGGATCTATTTATTTCTTCTAGGATCTATTTATTTCTTCTAGGATCTATTTATTTCTTCTAGGGATCTATTTATTTCTTCCTAGGATCTATTTATTTCTTCTAGGATCTATTTATTTCTTTTAGGATCGATTTACTTCTTCTAGGATCGATTTATTTCTTCTAGGATCGATTTATTTCTTCTAGGATCTATTTATTTCTTCTAGGATCGATTTATTTCTTCTAGGATCTATTTATTTCTTCTAGGATCTATTATTTCTTCTAGGATCTATTTATGTCTTCTAGGATCTGTTACTTCTTCTAGGATCGATTTATTTCTTCTAGGATCGATTTATTTCTTCTAGGATCTATTTATTTCTTCTAGGATCGATTTATTTCTTCTAGGATCGATTTATTTCTTCTAGGATCTATTAATTTTTCTTCTAGGATCGATTTATTTCTTCTAGGATCGATTTATTTTCTTCTAGGATCGATTTATTTCTTCTAGGATCTATTTATTTCTTCTAGGATCTATTTATTTCTTCTAGGATCGATTTATTTCTTCTAGGATCTATTTATTTCTTCTAGGATCGATTTATTTCTTCTAGGATCTATTTATTTCTTCTAGGATCGATTTATTTCTTCTAGGATCGATTTATTTCTTCTAGGATCGATTTATTTCTTCTAGGATCGATTTATTTCTTCTAGGATCTATTTATTTCTTCTAGGATCTATTTATTTCTTCTAGGATCTATTTATTTCTTTTAGGATCGATTTACTTCTTCTAGGATCGATTTATTTCTTCTAGGATCGATTTATTTCTTCTAGGATCTATTTATTTCTTCTAGGATCGATTTATTTCTTCTAGGATCTATTTATTTCTTCTAGGATCTATTTATTTCTTCTAGGATCTATTTATGTCTTCTAGGATCTATTTACTTCTTCTAGGATCGATTTATTTCTTCTAGGATCGATTTATTTCTTCTAGGATCTATTTATTTCTTCTAGGATCGATTTATTTCTTCTAGGATCGATTTATTTCTTCTAGGATCTATTTATTTCTTCTAGGATCGATTTATTTCTTCTAGGATCGATTTATTTCTTCTAGGATCGATTTATTTCTTCTAGGATCTATTTATTTCTTCTAGGATCGATTTATTTCTTCTAGGATCGATTTATTTCTTCTAGGATCTATTTATTTCTTCTAGGATCGATTTATTTCTTCTAGGATCTATTTATTTCTTCTAGGATCGATTTATTTCTTCTAGGATCGATTTATTTCTTCTAGGATCTATTTATTTCTTCTAGGATCGATTTATTTCTTCTAGGATCTATTTATTTCTTCTAGGATCGATTTATTTCTTCTAGGATCTATTTATTTCTTCTAGGATCGATTTATTTCTTCTAGGATCGATTTATTTCTTCTAGGATCGATTTATTTCTTCTAGGATCGATTTATTTCTTCTAGGATCGATTTATTTCTTCTAGGATCGATTTATTTCTTCTAGGATCGATTTATTTCTTCTAGGATCTATTATTTCTTCTAGGATCTATTTATTTCTTCTAGGATCTATTTATTTCTTCTAGGATCTATTTATTTCTTCTAGGATCTATTTATTTCTTCTAGGATCGATTTATTTCTTCTAGGATCTATTTATTTCTTCTAGGATCTATTTATGTCTTCTAGGATCTATTTACTTCTTCTAGGATCGATTTATTTCTTCTAGGATCGATTTATTTCTTCTAGGATCTATTTATTTCTTCTAGGATCGATTTATTTCTTCTAGGATCTATTTATTTCTTCTAGGATCTATTTATTTCTTCTAGGATCTATTTATTTCTTCTAGGATCGATTTATTTCTTCTAGGATCGATTTATTTCTTCTAGGATCTATTTATTTTTTCTAGGATCTATTTATTTCTTCTAGGATCGATTTATTTCTTCTAGGATCTATTTATTTCTTCTAGGATCGATTTATTTCTTCTAGGATCTATTTATTTCTTCTAGGGATCGATTTATTTCTTCTAGGATCTATTTATTTCTTCTAGGATCTATTTATTTCTTCTAGGATCGATTTATTTCTTCTAGGCTCTATTTATTTCTTCTAGGATCTATTTATTTCTTCTAGGATCTATTTATTTCTTCTAGATTTTGATCTTCAAAGAATCGATTTTTATCTTCAAAGAATCGATTTTTATCTTCAAAGAATCGATTTTTGTCTTCAAAGAATCGATTTTTATCTTCAAAGAATCGATTTTTATCTTCAAAGAATCGATTTTTATCTTCAAAGAATCGATTTTTATCTTCAAAGAATCGATTTTTATCTTCAAAAAATCAAAATTAGTGCACCATTTTTGCTGAACAAGGTTTCGCTTGCGCACACCGTTTCGATGTTTTTTCACACGAATTTAAGCGTTACAAACGCGGTTCTCTCCTCTCCGAAAAACGTAAAATAAAGTTTATTTTTGCCATAACGCGAGAACCACAGTAGCTGTGAGACTATAAGTCAGAATTGTTATTTTGTTGTTGCCCGCGCTGTTGTTGAGAAGCTGCTGGATGGCGTGGCTCGGAGAGAGACTCGAGAAACTCGGGATCCACTTTCGGCTTGATCTCGTCCTTCTTTTTCGGCGGATCCTCGTCCCATCCGATATCGTCCGGCTAGGAATATACAATTGTGTGGTTCAGCTAAAGCAAAAACGCTAGCAGGATGATTGGAGGAAATGGAATGGAACTAGCAGGAGAAAGAGAGAGAGAGAGAGAGAGAGAGAGAGAGAGAGGTTTTCGCAAATTGCGTGTTAGCATTGATTTTTTTGTGAAGAGCAGTGCTAGCAATGATCAGAAGACAACAGCAAACGTATTTATTACGAATTGTACAAACAATCAATGAAACAATAAAAAGACGGGCGGATCTTTGTGGTTAGAAGTCACGGTCGCGTCGGCGTGTATTTGGCGTTTAAAGTGGCGGCTGGTTTCGGTTGCCTCATTCCTGCAAACAAGCATTGGGTGCTGGAGAAGCGATTATTTCGACTTATCGGGGGACCGGAATTTTTTATGTCTAGTAATGCCGAGTAATGTATCAGAAAGTATTTTTAGTTGATTTTAGTAGGATAGTATAGTATACAACAGCACCATATCCGTGCTAATGCACTTGGGGGGCGATCCGGATTTTGACTACAAGACGCTCCAAATGCCGTTTTTAGCTTGAGGCTTCTGGAAAAGCTAAGCCTAAGCCTTCAAACAAACGAAGCCTGAGCTTAGCTTGAGCCAAGCTAAGCTTAGCTCTGAGCTAACCCCTAAATGATCCCGTTTTGACCTTGTAAGGCAATTTAAAGCCGAAGAAACGCTTAGCTTGGGCTTCGGCTTAAGCCTAAGCCCCTAAGCCCTAAGCGAAAGAGCTGAGAAAATCAGCCATTCGTAAGTTATTCAGCTGTAGCTAACGTAAAATGTAGCCTCCTGATACCTACTGGGTTCGTCTTTATCCTTTAGCTGATATTCTGATGAATCCTAGTTTTTGCGCATCGATTTGAAGATCAGCTGGAAATTCGGGCTTATTCCTTCAGTCTTGGATTATTGTGCCGTTGAAAAGAAATGTTTTGAACCAAGAGGTTGCCCAAACGTCTTCCCGTCACTTCACTTCCCAGATTCTTTCTTCCATGACCTATTGCTGAATTGAATCGATCAAGCGTCAAAAATATTTGATAGTAATGGATTAAAAATGAAACATACATGGTGAGCGCCTCGTAACCAGGGTTCTTGCGCAATATCGGGGGGGGGGGGGGGGCACAGAACTTTTTTTGAAGTCTAGAAAGGCCTAGCAACTTAATAGAAAGTGCTTTAATAGTGTTTTTAGTAATAGTAATAATACTCTGCAGCTATAAAACTTTTTAAAAACTTTTAAAAAAGTGAACTGTTTAAAAACACATCCACTATTGTTATTTGAAAAATCAGATCCTGAAGAAAAAATTGGGTCCCCCCCCCCGATAAGGCGAAAGAGCCGGTGATAGTTAAACATATTAAATAAAACGCAAAAATATACCATCCGCTTTGTATAGCCGGAAAGACTCATGTTTAAGCTGTTTTTATTGCAGAAAAATTAGTGCCCCCGTTCACTTATTCCCACCCCCTCGCTATCCTAGCTCCCTGAGAGTTGTGTACCCAAAGTTCGACTGACAGGTTTGAACGTAATCTTGCCGTCGTCGTCGATCGCGAGCAAAGTGTCGTTGGAGGGGGAGCACGCCGAAATTCTGATGCCGCATCTTCAGCTTACGCTCGAGGTCGTCGAGCTAAAAATATGTTCGAATCTCGTGGCTTCCGCTTACTCGCTTCTTGCGCGTGTCGAAGCCGGTGGTCATCAACTCGTTTTGGGTTTTGAAGGAGGACAACTGGAAAACGTGGTGTTTGCTGAGACACAGTGCTTAGAAGGGAAGTGGATATATTTGTTGGCTTTCTGTATGGCAGGCCTGGCAGTCTTGAGGGCCGGGCCGGGTTGAGATTTTGGAGATTTCGAGGATCGGGCCGTCCCGGGCCGGCCCTTTTCCAGGCCTGCCATGTGGGAGCCTAGCAAAAGTTATACGGAAGGAAAGCTTACTGGAACCGACAAAATCCGTAATTTTCATTTTCCGGGTATTTCCCCTCGTTTTTCGTACGAAACTTTGACGCGAAATATCCGCTAAATGAGAGCTCTTCCGGTTTTTCTGACAACGGCACGATTTTCAGTGTGGTCGATTACCCCAACGCCGCTTGCTCCGATATGGAAAGCCAACTTAGGTATATGCACTTCCCTTGTGAGATTCATACATTCTCCTGAAGGCGAGACAGATTCCTCTGCAGACGGCGCAGTGTCTCAGTGAGCAGATCGATGGATGGCAAGGCGAGAAATTGAGACTCGGCCTGGAACAAAATTAGGCTACGCACATAGCCACTCCAACCTTTAGGGCTTCGCCGAAAGTGAGCCCAATCAATCCCACTTCATCGAATCCGGGCTCAATGCCAGCGGCGATTCGGGAAGCATCGGGGTCCTTGCCCTTCTCCAGTCGCTCTTGGGCTCCCACTCCGTCAATGGCGCGCTTCTGGAAGCCCACGGTTATGTGGTTCAGGAGCTCATAGCGGCAAAAGGCGAGAGGGAGAGAGAGAGAGAGAGCGCGAGCGCCAGCGACAAGCTCGTCAACTGAGTAGGACTTCACCTCGACGGCCAGCTGCTGCTCGTCGAGCTGCGCATTGGGCTCGGCGTCGGTTCCCTCCTTCGGCGTACACTTGTCGTCCAGCTCTTCCGACTAGAAATATACAGTGTGAGGGAGGGAGGGAGGGCCGGAGAGAGAAAGAGAGATAGGGAGAGAGAGAGAGTAAGAGAGACAAAGAGAGAGAGAGAGAGAGTGAACGAGAGAGCGAGAGAGACAGTGAACGAGAGCGAGAGAGAGAGAGTGGAAATGGGATTCACTGGATACCTGGGCATCCTCTTCGACATCCGAGCCGCCAGCTTGACGCTCCGTAAACTCCATTTGCTCCAAGACGGCGATACGCTCGTCCATCTAAATTGCTGGTGCTAAGTGAACAACCGAGAACCACCTTTTTCAGTTCGGCACCTTCAGAGGCGGCGAGGGCTCGGTGCAGGGCCACGCCCAAGGCGTGCTGAAAGAAGGTTTTAGACTCGACTCTAAGCCAACTTTAATAATATCTGGTGTGTTTATGGCATCTTCATGAGTTTTTTATTGCTAAGAATAGAAATAAGAAATTTTGTCGAACTTCCAAGTTTTGTTTTGTTTTGTTTTGGTGAAAATTCAAATTCAAATGCCTATTTCCAAAATTCATGATGCCTTACATCTTTAGCATTTCTGATGTGTTTGTCATGGTATAATGCGGGGAAAAGCTGGTTCACGGGCGTGAAATTTTTCAAGTTTCACGTTTCAAGTGGCTGATGGCCTCCAAATCTGCACGAATGTCTTCCAATATGCCGGCATGGCGCGCTGCGGCCTGAAAAGTCACTTTGTCGGGTTAGGGTCCTTTTGCATGATCGGGGGTTCACATTTTTTAGTAGATTTCACGGCTTCGGTTTACCTTACCCCACCCCCAGCCCGAGGGTTGCCAAGTTTTGGATAGTTTCGTTATTTTTTTGAGATTTTGTTGACGCCATTCGATAGAGCATCAAAAAAAATATCATAGAAGTTTTAATTTCAGCCCAAAATAATGTAATACAAAATAGTTACAGCAAAAACAAGATTTGGCTTAAGTGCAGTTTACCCCCGCCCCAGCCCAGCTCCTCAGCCATACGTCCTATTAATGCGCCGAGTATCTCAAAATGTTTACCGCGGTCGAATTACTATAAAATATAAAAATATAAATATATAAATATAAATATATAAATATAAAAAATTCGAAATGTTCCCCGTGGCCGAACATCTAAAAAAGTTGTTTCCTTACGGCAAAAATTGTCAGAAATTTTTTACAAGATTTTGAAAGTTGAAAAGGTTATGCCGCTATGCTTCGATGTACCAGAAGTCAAAAACCCAAATATTTTTGTTTTCCTATTTTTTTCGACTCAAACGTACTGTAGGCTTATTCTACAGAGCAAGAGCTACATTTTGGTACTATTGACAGCTCTGTTCGACGAAAGATAGCGGAGATACCAAAACACACCTTGGAGCGGCAAAAATTAACTAAAGAAAACCCAGACTAATAATTGTTATAAAATTTTTTTAACAATTTTTCGCGCAAGTTAACAAGTTTTTTAGAGGTTTTCGACCACGGCGAACATTTTGAGATACTCGGCGCACTAATAGGACGTATGGCTGAGGAGCTTGGCTGGGAGAGTGCACTGCGTAAGCCGAAATTGGTAGTAAGGGGTACGAGACGCTCCGCCAAAGCTACTTGGTTTACAGCCTAAGCCTAGGCTTAAGTTAGCTTTAACTATGCCTAGCTTGGCTCAAGCTAAGCGCAGGCTTCGTTTGCAAGAAGGTTGGCTTTGGCTAAGCTTTTCCAGAGCCTTCGAGCTTAAAAACGGCATTTGGTGAGACTTGTAGTCAAAATCTGTCATAATTCCCTAAACCGGGTGAAGGTTCAGAAACCGCGAAGCCGTATTTAAAATCGGGTCAAAATCAAACGGAAAATGAGATGGTACGCATCCCGACGCGACGTCGGGATAACATGCAAATGAAGATGCAAACTACAAAATAAGCTGAACAAAACGATTTTGTGAGCTTTGCATCCTAATTTGCATGTTATCCCGACGTCGCGTCGGGATGCATAACAGCTCTATAGGAAACCCACGTCAGCCATCTGACAGGACGGAATTGGCAGAATGTGCTTTCCCATGAACGAAGCCATGAATTTCAGGGTGATGCTGAAAAGGGAATGCAATTGATAATCCAAAACGAGAATGTTAAAAATGGACCAAAATTATACCGTATTTCCTCTAATATAGCCCCCCCCCTCTAATCAACCCCTGAAATTTTTTCGATTTTCTTTTAGGAAATAATAATACGAAAAGCGTTTCTGTTTCTGTGTTCCTGAGTCGTCGTGAGCAGTTTGTACCACTAAAAACATTGTAGCGGCTCAAAATCACGAAAAATATTTCCCTCCCTGTAATACACTCCCTTCCCCTGACTAGGGAATGTTTTCGGGCGGACATCGGACCCAGATATGTGAGTATGTGCATCTTGTAGAGCTCGACGAGACGAATCGATTGATGTAACTTTTAGCTGCTGATACCTTATTTTAACAAAGTTACAACGGTTTCAAGTTTTTGGCCATACCTTCATAGGCTCTCCCCACACCCTGACCACCGTCTCCTGGTGGCCTAGTGGCTTAGTAGTCGGCGTCTGAAGATGGTAACGAGGGTACGGATCCGCTCGCGATTTTTTATTTTTGCTTTTTGGTCGAGAGCTTCCTTTTTGCACCCCGATGGCCTACAAACACTTATTTCAAAGTTTTTTTACCTGCCGATGATGGAAACTATGATGGAAAAATATAACCCCTGGGGTTATATTAGAGGAAATACGGTATCATGTTATTGATTATTGACATATCAGGTTGGATAATAAGTTGAGAATTTTCCAAGGTGGCCATGGTCAACATCATCAGTTTTCCACAACAAGAACCCACCTAGAAAAGAGCCTTCGCTTCATAAGCAACGAAGCTCAATGTTTCATCTACCGTACCCCCCGATATGACACTCGTTCCTGTAGCGCGTATCTGAATGCGATCATGCTTTTTATAATTTTAGAAGGTGCACATGGTCAACATCATCAGTCAACAACAGTCAACAACAGGAACGAGTGTCATATCGGGGGGGGGGGGCGGGGTACGGTAGATGAAACATTGAGCTTCGTTGCTTATGAAGTGAAGGCTCTTTTCTAGGTGGATTCTTGTTGTGGGAAACTGATGATGTTGACCATGTGCACCTTCTAAAATTATAAAAAGCGTGATCGCATTCAGATACGCGCTACAGGTTCTGTTTACAAATTTCCTCGAAAATTTCCGCTAGCTGGCCTGGCTGCTTAAAAATCCAAAATCACCGCTGCTAGGCTGCTTTGGAGAAATAGAAACCAATCAAAAACCAGCATTTCATTTATTTCACGTTTTCGGTTGCTGGCTAAAAAATTATTGTGCAGGGAAAAGCTATGAGACAAATTTTCCAAACAGATTTCCCGCCAACATCTCTGTAGCCTACCCCACGAATTCCCAAAAAGGGTCCATTAGTCAAAATCAATGTTTCGCAAACTTGGCGGCTTCGACTGGCGGTCTATTTTTTTAATGCGATCGTATAATTTTACACCGTACATTATTTTGAGCTCGCATTAAAACACTGACTATATTTTTGGATTCTGAATCGAATGGCGTCTCCAGAATGCCGAAAAAACTGCCGAAATTTTGAAAATCAGCATTGATCTTCCATTTTCGAAAGTTATTTTTGGTTTTGATATGATTTTTTATATGACGTTATTTGGAGCTGTAATAAAAACTCATAGTATATTTTTCGATGCTCTATCGAACGGAGTTCAAAAAACCCAAATATCTCCAAAATTGCAAAAATTTTGACCTTTTTTTGGGATTTTAGTTACGTAAAGTGTAGCCTCCTAATAACCACTGGACTCGTTTTTATCCTCTAGCTGATACTCCAATTAATTATTTCCCAGCTTTGATGCGAAAAATCAGCTGGAAATTCGGTCTGATTGCTTCATAGGTGGATTGGTGGGGCCGTTGAAAAGAAATGTTTTGAACCAAGAGGTTGCCTAAAGTCTTCCCGTCACTTCACTTCCCAGATTGTTTCTTCTATGACCTATTGATGAATTGAATCGACCAAGCGTCAAAAATATTTAATAGTAATGGATTAAAAATGAAACATACATGGGGATCGATGGCTTGTGACAGCATAAAAGTAGCCATTGTCGATCCAACCAGCGAGAGTACTGTATTGAGTACGGCGACAGTAGGTAGCTCTGACCCCTAGGCGCTTCAAATCGGAGCAGATATTTCAGATTGCCCGAATAACTCTATTTTCATAAAGCCTGTGCAAAAATAATTTTTATTAACTATTCTGTTGGTTGTCATCGAGCTGGAATAGGTAGGTAGACCTTTTTTCCGAAGAATTCCAAAATTTTCGAAATTTTATCTTGCTGCTCCGGCAAATCTTAGGGGTTAATGGGGCCGAAAAACTTTCGAAAAAACATTTTGGATTTTTTTGGACCCTCTTCCTGCAAAATAAATGCGAAAACAGCAAAAAGCAAAAATTAAGAATAACGTCGGGATCCGAACATTCGACCACTAACTTGTCACTCCTGCACCCTACCCCTACACCTCCAACACTACACCTCGTCCTTCTTTTTCGGCGGATCCTCGTCCCATCCGATATCATCCGGCTAGAAATCTACAATTGTGTGGTTCAGCTAAAGCAAAAACGCTAGCAGGATGATTGGAGGAAATGGAATGGAACTAGCAGGAGACAAGTAAGATAGAGAGAGAGAGAGAGAGAGAGAGAGAGAGAGAGAGAGAGAGGGAGAGAGTGTTCATGTGTAAAGCTGAATGCGGTTAGCATTCCGCAAATTTCCTTTTTTTCCGCAAATTCCTTGTTAGCATCGATTTTTTTTGTGAAGAGCAGTGGTAGCAATGATCTGAAGATAACTGCAAACGTATTTATTCCGAATTGTACAAACAATCACTGAAACAATAAAAGACGGGCGTGTCTTTGTGGTTACAGGTCACGGTCGCGTCGTGTGGATTTGGCGTTTAAAGGGATAGGGCGGCATAAGTGAATCGATTACGCGCGGGAAAGAAAATGTCTCTGCGCCTCTCCCCTGGGCGCCCTCTCTCGCCGTGCTTACTGTAAAGTGTTTTTACTCAACTTGGAGTTTCGATTCGGGACCAAGTGCATCTTGTACAGAATTTTTCGCTGATTCCGAATATGTTTTCCAAATTTGCTACGGACCGTTATTCTGAAAGTTATACGGCAATTATGACCCTAGTTTTCACCAAAATGAAGGTATCGTTATAGTTTTCGATTTTCTTCATTAATTTCAACGTCAAAATTGACTAG